GCTTCTCTGATTATTTTGTTCAGCATACAAATTGAATAAGTCAAAGGATATAACCCTGTCACACATCTTTTCCAGTTTTGAAACATGCAGTATCCCCTTGCTCTGTCCAAACGACTGCCTTTTGATCCGTGTACAAATTCCTCATGAACACAATTAAGTATTCTGGAATTCTCATTCTTTGTAATGTTACCCATAACTTATTATAATCTATACAGTTGAATGTCTTCACATAGTGGATAAAAAACAGGTAAATATCTTTCTGTTATTCTTTGCTTTTGGCAAAGATCCATCCTGACATCAGTGATCTGTTTAGTTCCACATCCTCTTCTGAATCCACTTAAACTTCTGACATTTCCTTGTCAATGTATGTCTGCAGTTGTTTTTTAATTTTCCCAGTGGTGCAGTGGTTAAGTGCTTGGCTCCTAACCAAAAGGTCAGCAGTTCGAACCCAACAGCAGTTCTGCGGGAGAAAGTTGTGGCAGTATGACTCAGTAAAGATTTACAGCCTTGGAAACCTTATGGGGCAGTTCTACTCTGTCCTATAAGTTGCTATGAATCAGAAATGACTCGATGACAATGGTTTTTTGTTTGTTTGGGCCTTCAGCAAAATTTTGCTATTTTGAATCTGACAATCATATGGTCTACTACGCCAGGAATGATAAATTGAAGAGGATCAGCATTGCATTCATCACTAAGAAGAACATTTTGAGACCTATCCTGAAATACAATGCTATCAGTAATAGGTTAATATCCATAAGCCTACAAGGAAGACCAGTTAATCAATGTCTTAGGCTGGGTTCTCTAGAGAAGCAAAACCAGTAAAGCGTGTAAATATCTATATAGAAAGATTTATATCAAGGAAATGGCTTACACAGTTATAGAGGCTGGAACGTCCCAAATCCATGGGTCAGGCTGGAGGCTCCTGCTGATTCATGTAGCCACAGGGGCTGGCAAACTCAAGACCGTGAGGCTCTTGCTCACAGGCTGTGAAGACTGATGAATTCCAAGATCAGCAGACAAGACAGCAGGTAAGCTGCTAGCTCAAGTCCCAAGAACTGGAGGTCGGACAAACAGGAGCCAGCTGCAGGATCCAGAGCGAGCAAAAGCCCATGAGCCTTTCCAGAGAGTCCACCTATATTGGATGCAGGCCACACCCCCAAGGACACTCCCTTTCAGATGATTGGCTACTCACAGCAGATCTCATCATGGAGGTGATCATATCATATCAAATCTCATCATGGAAGTGATCACATCATCATATGACTGCCAAACTACATAATAACTTCCAAACCACTGAGAATCATGGCTCAGCCAAGTTGACGTACAACCTTAAAGATCACAATCGAGGATTGGAATCACCTTAAGGGAGCCCTGGTAGCACCGCTGTTAAGTGCTTGGCTGCTAACCAAAAGGTTGGTAGCTTGAACCCACCAGCCGCTCTGCAGGAGAAAGATGTGTCAATCTGCTTCCATAAAGATTTCAGTCTTGGGAGCCCATATAGGGTAGCTCTACTCTGTCCTATAGAGTCGCTATGAGTTGGAATCAACTCGACAGCAATGGATAGGAGAATCACCTTAACCAGTGAACAACTGCTTGCCATGTCACTGATTTGTTTTACAGTTTTATAAAACCATCTTAGGAAAGCTACTGTCTTGGTTATCTAGTGCTGCTATAACAGAAATATCACAAGTGGACGGTTTTAACAAAGAGAAGTTTAATTCTCTACAGTAAAGTAGGCTAAAAGTCCAAATTCAGGGTGTCAGTTCCAGGGGAAGGATTTCTTTCTCTGTCAGCCTTCTCATCAACATTCCCCTGGACTAGGAGCTTCTCCGCACAGGGACCCCAGGTCCAAAGGACATGCTGTACTCCTGGCACTGCTTTCTTGGTGGTATGAGGTCCCCCAGTCTCTCTGCTCACTTCTTTTATATCTCAAGAGATTGCCTCAGGACACAATCCAATCTTGTAGATTGAGTCCTGCCTTACTAACACAACTGCCACCCATCCTCCCTCATTAACATCGTAGAGGCAGGATTTACAACACATAGGAAAATCACACAGTACCAGGAATCATGGCCTAGCCAAACTGACACACACACATTTTGGGGGGGACATAATTCAATCCATGACAGCTACTGAATATCTATTGGCAACAACCAAAGGGAGCCGGCTGAGGTCCTGAATATGAGGTTGGTAATTTGACCTGGATTCACGACTTCTATTCTTTTTGATACCCAGCATCTAAGCCCTCTTACCATACTTAAAGCAATTTTCCCCAGAGAAGGACTGAACATCACTCAGAGATTCTGGGCTTGGAAGAGGGTGCAACAGCATGAGACTTTTGGAAAGAGAGTGAACATGTTTGGGCTGTAAATGAGATAGCTGTAGTATGTTTTGTGTTTACTTTATTCAAATAGTTTTTTAAGTTATAAAACATTTTAGATACCCAATTATGGGCTCCATAAGGGATACTGAACATTTATGTAGCCACATCTCAGCTCTTAAGAAATAAAATATTAAAAACACAATGGAAGCATGAATGGATAAGCAAAATGAAGTATATACATACAATGGAACACTACTCAGCCAGTAAGAGAAATAAAATCTTGATACATGCTACAATATGGATGAAGCTTGAAGACATTATGCTGAGTGACATAAGTCAATCACTAAAGGATAAATGTATGTATGATCTCACTTATATAAACAGACAAGAACAGGCAAATGTATAGAGACCAAATTTTCTTAGCGGTTACCAGGGGTGGGAGGAAGGGGAAAAGGGAGAAGTTATTGCTTACGAAGCACTGAGTTTTGGTTTACAGTGATGGAAAAATTGCATTGATTAAGGGTAGGGTTGCACAGCCAATTTATATAATTGCTGTTAATAAATTGTACACCTGTAAAAAGTTGAATTGGCAAAAGTTGTGTGATAGATATACTTACAACCAGGACAAAAATAGAGTAGCTGCTGATGCACAACCAAACACCTCATGGGGTTTGGTTCCTTGGTTTGGAGATTTAGGGTCATGGTTTCATGGGACTTCCCAGTTAATTGGCCTAATAATGTGTTCATTGCTTTTGCTCCACCTCCTAGATCACTGCATAGTGCCTGGGGTCTTAAAAGCTTGCCAGCGGCCATTCATGGTACCACAATTGGTCTCTATTTGCCTGGAGCAATAGAGGAAAAAGGAGAATCAAGAACAAGAGGAGGAAATGGAATTTGTGGCTAACTGCTCCATGAACAAATGCCTCTTTTGTCCATGAGAACAGAAGAACTGAATAGTGTCCAGCTACTACTACTGAACATTTTGATCAAAGATTCTACAGAAGAATCCTGAACAATAGGGAGGAAAATGTAGAACAAAATTTCAAATTCTCATGGAATCCATACTTTCCGGAGCCACGGAGACTGGCTGAACCCCTGAAACTATTGCCGTGAGATAATCTTTAAACTTTAAACCAAAAATATCCCCGGAAGTCCCCTCAAAACCAAACAATAGTTTAGCTTAGCTAGTAAAGAACGTTTGCCTTGCGCACTGTACTCTTTTAAGAACTATCTATACGGGCTCAAATTGACAACGGTAACTCGAAAGCTTAGATAGGAAACTTAGCGGGCAGTGAGTTTATGTTAACAAAGGAGAAACAATTTGGAAACTGAGGGTGAGAATGGTTGTACAACTTGAATGTAATCAATGTCACTGAGTTGTACATGTAGAAATTGTTGAAGTGTACGTTCTGCTGCATATATTCTCAACAACAACAAAAATAAATTATATAAAAAAACATAATGGAAGCAATCTCTTTTCCTTCCCTCCTCCAAATGTACCTGCTAACCTGATTTTTCTATGTATTATTTCCATGTTATTTTTTTACTACATATACATCTATTCATAAACAATATATTGTCTTCCCTGTTTTTCACACCAAATACAATAGGTGCCATACTTTATATATGTGATGCAACCTGTTTTGTTCATTTAACATCATCCTTTTCAAATTTATGCATACTGTTGTGTAATTCTACCTCCTCACTGCTGTTTCCAGGGTTTGTGAAAGTTTTTGCCCTGGTCCATCCTCCCGAGGGTGTGCCCACTCCTAGGCTGGGGAGCCATCAAGTGGGGGCCAAGAGACAGGTGCTTTGTTGTTGGTGTGTTCCAAGCTTGGATGTGGAGCCCGAGGTGTCCGTCAATGTGAGACAAAGGGAGGGTGGCGGTGGGAAGAGAAGGAACCTGGCATCTCTCCCTGCCTGGAATTCCAGGAGTTTTAGAATTCTTAATTTGGACCTGACCGTTCAAGTTGTTAGAAAGATATATTTATTAAGCTGGGAGGATAGAAAAAATTCCCTTTAATATTTAATTTGCTTTACAAAACCAAAAACCACCTACCTGTTGCCACTAAGTTATTTTCGACTCATGGCAACCACACGGGTTACAGAGAACTGCTCTATAGGGTTTCCTTTGCTGTCATCTTTATGAAAGCAGATCACCAGGCCTTTCTTCCACCGTGCTGTTGGGTGAGTTCAAACCACCAACCTTCGGGTTAGATGAGCACAAACTCTTTGTCACAAAGTAACTTTAACTTGATTTATAACTTTTAAATATTTAGACAAAGTATGTGGGCCTCCAGTTATAATTCTGTCACGGCCCCACAAGTGGGGGTGGGCCTGCCCTTTCCTAACACCCCTTTCCTCAAACCCGGTTATAGTAAGAAAATACTGAAATGTGGGTTCTCCTCCCACGTCCACCTTCTCTGTAAACTGCTACCTCCCTTCCTCTCTCCTCTAGTTAGTACTGTCAATTCTGAGTTTGCTAAATTCCATGCCTAGTTGGAATGAAGACGCCAACCAGACACCAAGAAGCCAAGCTCGGGACACACAGAGTCGCCCTAGTCAAAACGAGTCTGCGGCGAGCAGGTGCTCCCCCACCAAGCTCCGCCCACTCCGCCCGGCCCGGCCCCATAGCGTACTGGGATATATAGTCTTTGGAAGGGCAGCTGCCTCCACCAAGACTCCTCCCACAAGCATCCGATGCTGTCTTTCGCCCTCGGGCGTCGTGACGTGGCACTCCTCCCGTCCCTTGCCTCCTCCCTATTTTTTTTCCTTTCTTGAGACGCCCAGTCCCGGACTTCCGGGGTCCTTTTACGACACCCAGGTCTCAGAGTTGGTCCGCTTTTCGGCAAAGTGACGTGGACGTCAACAGCAATGGCGGCAGGAGAAGAGGTCCCACCGCTGCTAACGTCGAGCGGTGACAGCTGGTGAGTGAAAGCCTGGGGCTGATTCCCACTGCCCTTGTGTCCTTCCTTTCTTCTCGTCCCCCCGTCCGTCCCAGAGACACCGGCAGACGCTGGCTTGGAACGGGAAGACTCGTCCTCGGCGAAGGGCCGGCGCCCTGCCCCGCCTCCTCCGCCGCCTCTGTGCTGCCCAAGGGTCTGGGGCCGGAATGGTAAAGTAGACGGGCGTCGTCCAGCATTCCCGCCTTGTCCACCTTTCTTCTAAATATACGGAGACGGTGCTTTCAGGGCGGGGTTGGGGCGGAGTCCCTGACCCTGGGAGTTGGAGTAGGCTGGTTAGGAAGAAAGTTTCTTAAATAGAATCGGAGGCGCTGGAATACCATTTGAAGGAAACACCGTTTGAAATTACCACAGTGACCTTTGCCTGAGGGTTCAGAGATTGAGAGGTACGCTCTGGGAGGATCTCTCCCACATAGTTTAGATATTTCTTTTCCTGGTTTTTAATCTCTTGTTTTGCGTTCCAACAGTTCGCACCATGCGTCTCTTTGACACAAGTCTTTTCCTTCTTAATACTTTTCTGACATCTCGATTTTCACAGCTTTGGATGCGATTGTACAGTGCTCTTGCTGCTCCCAAGCCTTTTTATGCTTACCTGGTTTATACTCAGGGTTGCGGAGGAGGACTTAGAACAGTTTTTTTTTTTTGGTAGACTTTAGTTCCCCAGTGTAGTTAGTCTTTGGGAAAAGCTCCAACTTTTGAAATAATTGGACTTCACAATACACTTCCAGTGACTCCACCATTAAAAAATGGAACCTTTACAGGCTTGTGGAATTTTTACAATGAATCTTAAGTGTATTGACCAACTGTATAAGTTTTCGATTTGCTTGTTCATCATATCATATGATACAGCTCACTGGCAGTCTGTTTACCTAAAAATAATACAGGACATTTGTGGATACCGACTTTAATCCCTGAGAAGAAACTGGAAGTCGTTGAAAGGGATGTCGTAATTGAGAAGTTCAACTCCAAATTAGCAGACATTAAACATCACCTTAGTGCATGTCCTCTCTAAGGTGTAGGAGGAAGACTTAAGGTGACCTTTGCCTGAGGGTTCAGAGGTTGAGAGGTACACCCAGGGAGGATTCTAAATGTGGATTCTTTCCTCAATTTGCATGTATTGGAATTGGGGAGCTGTGATAAATACACTCATTAACCAGGTAAAATTGATCCAGTTCTTTGAGGTGTGAATCAAAGTGTTGTGGGAGTCATTAGATCAATTGGAAAGTGTCCTGGAGGCAGTGATATTTGAATTAGGTCTTGAAGAATGAGTAAGATTGAGACCAGCACTGTCCAGTAGAAATATAACATGAGCCACATTTGAAATTTAAAATTTGCTGGTAGCTACATTAAAAACTAAAAAGAAACAGGTGGAATTAATTTTAATTATTTTCTCTAATACTTCCAGAGTATCAATGCAACGTATCATATGTTTTAAAAAACTATTAATTAGATGAGATAATTTTACTTTTTTTTTGTACCAAGTCTTCAAAATCTGATGTGTATTTTACATTTACTCTACATCTCAATTTGGTCTAGCCATATATCAGATGCTAAATAGACCCATGGCTAGTGACTAACATGTTGGATAGTGCAGGATCAGATTAAGAGATAGGAAGGCCTCTGAATGCAGGAACAGCATAAGCAAGGACCTAGGCAAGAAAAGCATTGTTTTATTTGGAGAGTAATGACTAAAACTGCATGGCTGAAGAGAAGTTGCAGACAAATAACTCTGGGAAAACAGTATAAAATTTTTTAACTCATTAAAAAAGGACCCTTTTGAAATCAGTGACCAAGACATCGCAAAACTTTTCAGAAAGTGACTTAATTGGTTATAATATGAAGTTTACTGTTTCAGAAGGGCAAATTGTATCGTAAACTCACTGCAATGAGCTGACGTATCAAGTGTCACGAGGGGAGATGTTTCTAGACTTAAGTTAGTGTCTTTGGGAAGTTCTTAGGTTGGGAGCATTGTGAGCATCTGTCTAGTTCACAGGAGCAAGGGACATGGTGTGAATGGTTGTTAGAGGTAGAATTTGTTCTCTTCTAAGTTTGCTGTGTCTTTGGTGTGACTTTCTATTTTTGTTCTTTGTAACTTTTCATGAGTGGAGGAAACCTGAGTTGTTTTGCTATGATTTCTACTCTCCTTTCATCCTTTTCTAAAATCTCTCCTTTTTCTCCCCTCAACTCCCGTACCCATCTCGCAGAAGTGAATTGGAATAGAGAGCCAGGAAAGACCTTGGGATTGGGAGCCGTAGATAGGTCCAGTAAAGCCTCTGCTTCTAGAGTGCTTGGTGAATGGGTTGTTACAGAATGAGGAGGCTTTACTCTTTAAAAAAAAGTGCTAATATGTTTTTATTTTAACTTTTTTCAAATGGAAAATTTTCAAAATGCATGATTCATCTCACTGCCTAACCTAAACTCCTAATGACTTAGGATCATTCCATTTGCAAACATAAGTGTACTAAAATAAAACTAGGTCATTGTCCTCAAGGAACTTATGGTCTAGTTAGTAGGCACATTTAAGAACAATAATTATTGTTATGCTGCTGTAGGGTGAGTGTTGTAGTGTTAATAGCCTCACACAGCCGTCCCTTTTTGAGATTGTATCTGTCTCACTTATTTATTTACTAGATTTCAGTGATGTTGTAGATCCGTGCTTCTCAGAGTTTAAATGTGCATTGGAATTACCTGGGGAACTGTTAAAATGCAGTTTCAGATTCAGTAGATCTAGAATAGAATCTGAGATTCTGTATTTCTGACTAGCTTTGAGGTGATCCAATGCTTCTGGTTCATGAACCACACTTTGGTTAGCAAGGTTCTAGATGATGTATATCTCAGAATGAGTTGGTCATAAGACTTACATTGTACATTATCATATCATATGTTATATTGTGTATATTGTATCACCTAAAACACTATACTGAAATTTATCTGTGTGACTTGTCATTGCCCTTTTTAGATAGTGAGCTTTTCAAGGGCAGCAGGTGATAAGTGGCTCAGTAAATGTTTGTTCAATAAATGTATGCATGCATGAATACAGGCTTGTAAAATCATGTACAATAGCATACCAAACTGTCATTTTGTATAAATTTCCTGACTCTGCTGTTTTTATGAGCCATGTAATTGTCTGCCTGTGCAGTAATGTTCACTCTTTGTGGAAAGTTATGGTGATCAGAAACTGCCCCAGCTTTCAAGCTTTCTGGGGCTTCAGCCTTTTGAGCTCAGTGGATGTAGTGAAATCCTTGTAAAACTGTTCGGTTAGTTTGAAATGATTTAAATTTAATTTAAACTTTGAAAATCCAGGTTTGTAGAATCAAACAATGTTACATTTCAAAGATTGGTAACTACTGTTCTTCATATTGAAGAAGTCAGTCTTGGATTTGAACATAAATCCTCATTGTCGGGAGCTTTCTTATGTAAAATAATTCCTAAAGATCCGAAGGCATAATTTCAGCAGGTTTTTTTTTTTTTTTTTTTTGTATAGACATTAATTACACAATTGTTGGTATTCTGAGCTTGCCTAGTTTAAAATTTTTACACAGTATTGACTTTTAATTCATAATTCTAATTTATTGTTAGACTTTAAAATGGTTACTAAGCTTTTCTTAGAATTGTGAAAGTATCAGTTCCATAAAGAAACTTCTATTGTTGTTAATTTGAGATGTGAATAGGAATTGTTTGCAGAATAATAGGTTCTTCTTTTTCAAAATTTTGTGCACTTTGTAAATAGTACTTCCCATTTCATAATCTCAAAGTTAAAATATGAGGCAAGATTTAAAATGTCACTTCAGGAGAAGGAGTAGATGATTGCAATTTCAGACATAATTAATCGATAAAGAAATATATGTAATAATATGAAAGAGAAAGAAACCCATTGTTTAAGAAGAATATGGACAGCTTGCAGGACTGAGAAGGCTAGATATTGCTTTAGAGAAAATGAACTTTATTCTTTTGAGCTAGGGAGTAAATGACAGCTGTTTGATTTTATAAACTAAAATTAGAAGGCAGGAAAGATCAGAAATGAAGACGACTTATTTTGTTTATACTATATAGCAATGTCTTTATTATAATTCAGATTTTACACCTTCTAGAGGTAATTCCTAAAGAATAATAATTCACTTCAAGGATTTTGTTTCTTGTAGATGTTTTAATAGCCAGACACTAAATTAGTAATTATTTTTTGCATTCTCTAAAGAAATATATTTCAATGAATTTATTTCCAACTGTTTGTACAGGCAGTCCCTGGATTACGAGTGTCCATTTTACGGACGACTCATACGTAGAACGGACTGCCATCCAGCCTATTATATTAAAAATTTGAGTTAAATAAATGGTTCATAATCACAAATGCACGCACTACTTTGTGATACTCATGAAAACATTGTGTGGTTTAACAGTGTTTCTTAAGTATTTTATATGCATAGAAAGGTAAAATATATACAATATACTTAGATAAACATCTGACTAACTGATGCTAAATAAGAACTGTATGTACTTTTTCCAGCTTACCTACAAATTCAGTTTAAAGATAGACTTGGAAACAGATCTTGCTCGTAACCCGGGGACTGCTCTGTACTCACTGCAGAGAGGGGACAAGTCTGTTTTCTGTGTAAGAATACTGAGGCAATCCCAGGTCATTGTGGAGCACCCAGTTAAGCATATTACATTACACAACCAGTTTATGCGTAGGGGTCTTCTGAACACAGTTGATAAAACATGCTTGGCAAATCATTTCTGCTGCATAATGCTGAAATGTGGATTCTAGTTGGTATAAACCAAAGACAGCCCCCTTTCTCATTATCAAAAAGTAAAATGGTTAAGAGTGATAGTTGAACAATATGATGAACGTAATTAATGTCGCTGAACTGCTGATGTGAAGATTGTTGAAATGACAAATGTTGTGTTACCTGTATGTAGGTAATGCACGCATAAACCTCATAGGACCATACAATGCAAATTGTGAA